ATATTGTTTCTTTTGATAATAAAAACTATTTGTATTTGTTTATTTATGTTATTTCTATTTATTTCCTTTTCTTATTTTATCCCGAGAAGGAACAATTAAGAGATACTGGAAGTCACGAGAAAATATAAGTATAACCTAAGCTGATTTATTATTTTTATAAAATGTCATCCTGAGATTGTTTTTTGTGTATGATTTGCGATTAATTAAAGTAATTAAATAAATAAAAAGTTAATATAAAAGTAAGGAAAGGCAGATCATAATAATATACACTCCCGATCATAATTTCACCTGGAAAATTTCAAGTTTTTTGAATACTTTTGCCTCTAGTGCAGTAATAACTTTTTTTATGCTAATGTATTTTTTATTTGTCATCAATGTTTGTTTTGAAAGAAAAAAAACGGTTTTTTATCGTTTTTATTGAAAAAGCTGAAAACAAACCAAATCGTTGATGAAACTGACAAACGAAAATTAATTGAAAATACAGAACGTGCGTGGTAAAACATCAGCGAAATTTCAATGACTAATATCGTGTATTCCCTCCCCTTGCTCTAATAAACTCTTGCAGACGACGGGGCATACTCTCAATTTTTCTCCGGATTACATGTTGTGGTATGTTATTCCACTCTCTTAACAGATCCTTGAGCTCCTGTGCGTTGTTAAGAGGATGTGTATGGGTTTGAATACGTTTTTTCAAACCTTTCCAGAGATGATCGATGTTATTCAAGTCCGGAGACCTAGGTAACCTCGTATTAGTATTGTCCAACCTCGTCCCAGTATTGCATACTGTTCCTGTCAGCGTGCGGTCGCGTGTTTGCCTGTATAAAAACGGCGTCTTCTCCAACCCCTGCCATGGTGGGCATAACATGTTCTTCTAGAATCTCCGTAGTGTACCTTCGTGTAGTTAAGGACCCATTTTCGACGAAGGGTAATTCTGTGCGGAAGCCGGAAGATATACCTACCTCTCCAAATCATGACCAAGCCTCCACAAAATGGCATTCTTGGAGCAATGCAAGCTTGTGAAAATCGTTCACCGGTTCTCCTCCAAACTCTTACACGTCCATCGGATCCAGTTAGGCAGAAACGGGATTAGGGAAACGGGATCTGAGAATAAAACTGCTCCAATCGTTAATTCCACAATGCGCATATTGTCAAGCAAAAGCTATTCATGCAACTCCATAGTCCAAAAGAACGAAGTTTTCTCCTAACTGTTGCAACGCTAACATTGCGATTGCGTACTTCCTGTAGACGATTTCTGACGTAGAAAGGCTTTCGTCAACAGTTCTTGCGACTTGCCGTTAAGTGTGACCGTCTTCCACAAGCGCAACAATTCATGCCGTTTGATCAACAGTCAAAGGCATTTTTGGCAAAAAGTAAACAATAATAAACACTAATAATGGCACTAATAAACACTAATGGTGGCATAATAAACGTTTGTTTGTTGCGTTTGAACATAAAGTCGAAGCACAAATGAGACATTTAAAACAAACGGCAGTTATAGGTACCGTTCATTTTGGGAAGTGTGCATTTTTCCACGAAATCGGCACTATTGGAATTATCTGTTACAAAGGAAACCACTGAGCGGACAACAGTTCTCAGAACCAGGCATTAGTTTGTATTTGGGTTATTATTATTTTCGATAAAGCTCGTTAAAAATAAAATATCGATGATTTTCAAGGTGACCCGAATTTTATGATCGCGAGTGTATATTAAAGATAATAGGGTACAATATGCATCCCTGTCGAACTCCGCATTATATTGATACGAGATCTGTCAACTAGTCATCTATTTTTAAATTCGCAGTTTGATTATGGTATATGTTTTATACTTATCATCTACACCAACTTTATTTATTATCGATTATCAGTGTGTCGCACTTTATGCTGTCGAATTCCTTTTGTTAGTATATAAAACATCAGAATGTTGTCTCTGCATCTTTGAAATACAATTTGAGTGTTAAATAGGACTTCTTGTATACTCAAAGCGTCATGGAATCCAAAATGTCGACGGTATCGTTGGGGTTGTAGTAATCATTTTTAAAGTTTCTTTTACATATTTTCTACAAGGGTTAATTTTATCTTCTATAATTATCATTGAATTCTCTTGGTTGTTTCTTAGGTATTCAGCTTTCTTAAGTTTAGGGGCGTACTGCAGCTTTAATTTTTTTTATATAGATTTGACATCATGTTTTCCTCTAATGTTTCTAATTTGCACATATTCGCAAATTCAACATAGACAGTGCAAGATTCTGCATTCTTGCAAGATATGCCTAATAACATAGAATGGAGATCAGATGGGATCAATATCAATTGAGAAATGTTAAATCACCTACATATGTTTTGGTGACCATCTCATATTGATTTCAGATAATATCCAGGAAGCTTAATGTGTGATGCAAGAGTTAAAAAACTCATTTAAAGAAGTCGGTTTGAAAATAACTATTTCCAAATCCATTTTATGATAGATCTAAACTAAATACACAATAAAGGTGTACTAGGAATAAACAAAATAATACATTATGAATCGAAGAACACTCACAAATCATGATTTTAACAATAAACGTATAAACGTATATATCTATCTCCTAAACTATATTATCAGACATCGTAGCATAAGCTATCGACGACACTATACCCTGGCCGCTTAAAACATGGAATCCAAGGTCGCATGATCGCTGAATGCAAGCATCGACAGTCGGTCAAAACTAGATTTTCTGAGAAACCGTTTACACTGTCATTATATTATTTATCTATGGTCATTATTAATTTGTGTTTCACTTTCGCTGGTGAATTTTGTTGGCAGTGTTAAAAATTGTTTGTAGAGTTGATGCGTACGTATATTAATTTGTATTTGTATTTTTTGTATTCTTGTGAATAAAGATATTCTATTCTATTCAAACGAATCGCATTCCATGAAATTTATAAAACGAATTTAGTTCTTAATTTTATTTAAAGTTTACTTTTGACATATTTATACAGGCAAAAGCCAATAAAATGTTTAATTAAATTTAATTTAAATCAATAACTAATTAATGTATTCGACCGTTACTTGATGGAAATTCATTTTATATAACAATAAAACACTGAAAACTTTGTTTTCAAACTTCCACAAAATTTATTTAAAATCTTATCACTACAGCTGTTTCGGCTGATTGCCTTTCTCAAGTGATCTATTTTTGGCTTGGGTTTACAAATTTATAGTCTCTAATGAAATAGGTTGAGGATTGGAGAACTGTTTGTCTCAAGTTGGTCATTCAGAATTATATCTGTGTTTTTTAATTTGTTGATTTCCATAGATTGTAACAAAGATAGCTTAAGGCCTTTATTTTGAATGTGAAGAATTTTAAATTTGTCATTAAAAGAATGATTATGATCTAGAAGGTGAAGTGCGTATGTCGAATCTGTTTTTCTATTCTTGAAAGCCCTTTTATGTTCTGCTATTCGTTTGTCAAAGTTTCTACCAATTTGACCGATGTAAGTTTTTGGGCATTCGCCACATTGAAGTTTGTACACACCACTATTTAAGTGTTTTTTTATTTTGACTCTTGTTATTTTTAATATATTTGCCTAGGTTGTTATTTGTTCGGAAAGCTGGTGTTATTCCTTTCTTTTTTATGTGTTTGGCAATTTTTGTTGTTATTTTGCCTGTATATGTAATCGAGCAGAAGGTATTGGGTTTTTTCTCTGCTGGTGGAAATACTAATTTCAGGACTTTCTTGTGTAGTTTTTGATTTAACATTTTATTAATTGTTTGTTCGTTGTATCCGTTGTTTACTGCTATTTGCTTGATTATATTTAAATAAATAAATTATATTTAAATTTAAATAAATAAATTATATTTAAATAAATACATAAATAAATACATAAATACATAAGAAGTGATTTTTAGATCGTTTCTCCAGCCTCTAACTGTCGGGGTGGTCAACAGCTCGTAGGCCGGGCATGCCATAAATCAACCATTTGTTTCAATATTTCTGACATAGAATACAAAGAAAAAAGCCCAATTCTGCGTACTTTAACATGATAAATGAGAGCCAGTTTAGGTTTTAGGAACTCACAGGAACTAATATATTTTAAAAAGATCTTTGAAATACAGCACCCAAATTAGGTCATATTACAGTACCGTAACAGAAAAAATATTAACTGTAAAAATATGAAATGAACAACGTCAATTAACCTATATTTTTCTAATAATATTTTATACGCTGCATCCCTCTTTACTTTGTTATGATAATCTTTGGATTTAACGTGCCAAAGACAAGGCTGATTTTATATTCTTGAATAAACTCTTCCAATGATTCATGGTTAACCTTTTTGCGATCACTAGTCATGACGAAAATTACTCAAATGCTACCTTACAAAGCAACACAACGGACGCCGTTTTACTTGCACAAGCGCGTTTAATTCAAGCATGCATAATTACTTTTAATCCTCAAGCCGCTTGTACAATCACAAAACTTGCACCACATTTCCCTACAGACACTGAAGCGTGCTTGTACAAAAAGATTGAACAAGCGTGCATGTGTGTCTGTAGCCGCCTTAACAGTTATTTACAAACTAATAACCAATTTAGGAAATACAAGTAAAAAATAAATACAACGATTAAAGCAGCAACGTTCACTAATCGAAACGAAAGTAAATCTTGCTAAAACAAGTAGTAACTCTATTAAGTTTTATTAATTTAATAAAAATGCAAAACTGTATGGTTCCTTATGTGTCTTAGCGTGATTATGTCTATTCCCAGTGCATCTTCATTCTCAATAGACTGTAGTGACTAAATAATGCTCCTTTTTAAATGAATAATAAAAATATTAATATGTTAATGTGTTTTATTAAGATTTTTATGGCTGTTTACGTATTGGTTAGAGCAATTTTTTTCTTGACCGTTCTTTACTTCAAAAATATAGTGACAATTTTTGCAAAATTCTGTGTGTTTTTACATTTCTGTCATGCCATGCTTATAATTGTTGTTTAATTATAACAAATAATTACGACTTGTTTTAGTGGGAATTGGAGAATTTGCCAACTTCGCAGCGTACACCTTTGCACCAGCTTCACTTGTTACCCCATTAGGCGCTTTAAGTGTTTTAGTTGCAGCTGTTTTGGCTTCTAAATTTCTAAATGAGAAAATCAACATATTTGGAAAGGTATGTATTTGACTACTATACTATGTTAACTTGAGTTTGTTGTCAGTAGAGGTACAAAAAGTAGTTTGTCGGGCAAAATATCTCTTGTTTTTTAGTTGGGCTGTGTATTATGTATATTAGGATCAACGATACTGATTATACATTCCCCCAAAGATGATACGATAGCCTCGATAGATGAACTGCTCAATCGTGCCCAGAATACCGCATTTATCAACTATATAATTACCATTACAATTATGGTATTTTTAATTTTGGTTGTCTTCGGCCCGAAATATGGTAATCGACATGTTGTAGTATATTTAACATTATGTTCTGCAGTTGGTAGCTTCACTGTGATGGCTTGCAAGGCGTTAGGAATGAGCATTAAGGAAAACGCAGGTATGTAGGAATGGGCATTATTAATTAATTATTGCGTACTTATAATAATTTAATTTTTGACCTTACTTTTTAAATTTTTTGCAGCCTTACATATTAATCAACCAGCAAACTACTGGTTGCCATTCGCGCTATTCATCATTGTACTTCTATGCGTTTGTTTACAAATGAACTACCTAAACAAATCGCTTGATCTCTTTAGCACTAGTGTAGTAACGCCAATATACTACGTTCTTTTTACTACTCTAGTCATTATAGCATCGTCAATTTTGTTCGAAGAGTGGAAGGTGATGAGCGGTGTCGACATGCTCGGTGCCGTGTGCGGATTCCTGGTTACTGTCGTCGCCATATTTCTTTTACATGCCTTCAAAGATACTACAAATGGACAAATGGTTCAGAGAACTAATTCTGTACAAAGCGGATCTCTTGGTAGCTATGGAGCTAGGTCTGTTTAAATATTATTTTGAGCTATAAAAACTGCTTTATTTACCTACTTTGGCATAGATTTTTTGGTTTATAGTACTAACTGCATGTGTGCATGAATTTTAATAAGGCAAGTTAGAAGCACAAAGGGTTTTTAATGGCTTATTAATTTAGGTTGTAATTTCATTTTATTTTAATGTGTATAACTAGCTAGGAGTATGGGTATATCAATTCACTTCAATTTTAAATTAAAAAATTTCATACTCGATTACCCGATTTTGTTGACTGATTCTTAAAGAACGTATGTAACGGTCGGTCACATATTTTTTACATTGTATAATGTAATAACAAGAAATGCATAATAACATATCATCCTTTTGTGTTGTAGATTGTTTACCAGCATATGCGACTCACAATCTTAAGTAGTTTTTATTATTTAATGATGAGTACATTGGCAATGAGTACATTTTTTGCTACCAGTTTCAAGCCTTATAATAATTGTCCCATCATCAGGCCCCATTAGGGGAGACTGGGGTTGGTTGTCATAGATTCGCCATTACATTTTTTTTTTGTAAGATTAGTATTACTTGCTGTGAAAAGTGCACATTATCGTAAGATAAAGTGAACATTACTTCGATATTCCCTATTTTGTAGATCTCTACATGTATTCCAACATACTCATATAAAATAATAAGAGTAGCTCTACAACCTATGCCAATTTACCCCGTGATTGAGGCAAATTGTGATAGCCCTTGGGGTAGGTTGGCATATAGGTATAAAATATAACTACACTTGAAAAAAGATGCAAAGTAATCAATCAATTAATAGGCAGGCATATAAAATAATAGAAGCCGAAAAAATATAGGTAAATGTATTTAATACGAAGGTGTAAATTCAACCAACTTTAATTTTTTTTAATTAATAAAATAATTAGAAATCTGTATTTAAAAATACTGTTATTATTCATCACAATCGCAGTTTTGACATTTATATGGCACATTATTGCATCAGTGCATTTGAAGTGTGCTGAATAGTTGCACTCAATGTATTCGATTCACTGTTCTCCAGGGCGACTATTGGAATGTGGCTCCATGCAAACTAGACTAGACTACAAATCTTTAAAGATTTTAAAGTGTTTGTTTGTCTTTGTGTATTGTACTGTTATGTCCAAATTTACATGTATGACATTCTACTCATGTCGGATAGGCCACAACTGACGAAATGCCCCTGAAGATGATCTATTGATCGAAAGTACTTGGGCAAGATTTAATTAATCACTGTGTTCGATAGTTGCCTTGTATACTATCAAAGTTCAAATGAGCATTGAACGTGTCTCACAATACAATTACTTGGGAACTATAATCAATGAGTCGTGGGATAATACCCAAGAGATTAAATGTCGCATCGGAAAGGCCAAAAGTGCATTCTTGGCTATGAGCTCTGTGTTCAAAAGCCATGACCTCACCCTGAAAACAAAAATAAGGCTCCTTAAATGTTAAGCGTACCCAGTGCTTCTGTATGGAGTAGAAACGTGGACATTGAAGGCGGAAACTCTATCAAAACTTCAGGCGTTTGAATTATGGTTATACAGAAGAAACCTGAAGATATCATAGACAGACAAAGTCACCAATGAAGAAGTACTGCGGAGGATGAACACAACCGCGGATTTGGTCAATATTGTGAAGAGCCGTAAGCTGGAGTACTTGGGACATATAATGAGAAATCAATGCAGATACGAGCGACTCCAATGCATTTTGCAGGGTAAAATTAAAGGAAAAAGAGCCCCAGGACGAAGAAGAATATCCTGGCTTGCTAACCTGAGAGCATGGTATAGAAAGACCTCAACACAGCTATTTCGTATAGCAACCAACAAAATCATCATAGCCAGAATGATCACCAACGTTCGGAACGAATTTGTTTAAGTCAGATTAAAGAGCTATCAATATACTTTCACACCATCATCATAGAAAATAACTTAAAATGTTTGTACTAGATTATAACAAGTGTACGACAACGAAAATTACTCACCAAATGTAAAATCACAAATCAGCACTATATTCCCTGGATAACGTTACAACTTCGATTGAAAGTATAGTAACACAAGCGCCAACGGTTTGTACAGGCACAGGTCGACGCGCTATATTTTACTATGAACGGACCGTAATTTAGATGCACAATGTCAACGTACCCCTTATGACAACCAACCCTGGTCTCCCCTACGTTAGTCCTATTTATGTTAAATACTACAAGCTAGAACAGCATAAAACAAACAAAGATGTTTCCTTTATCTGATATGTAAGTTAAAATGTTGGTTTTATTGAAAGTATAATTCAGTGTTAACATAATCATCATCATCAGTAGCTCGACAACCCTTTCTAGGTCCTGGCTTGTTCTAGGATTTTCCGCCATTCTGTTCTGTTTGCTTTGTTTTTTCTGTAGGTAATCTTAAGTGTTTTCAGATCTTGTTCCACTTGTTCCATGTATCTAAGTTTGTGTCTTCCCTTTGACCTTCTCCCTACTGGTGTTTGGCTCATTATATGTTTTGGTGTTTCAGTCTTCAACATCCGTTCAACATGACCCATCCAGCGCACCCGTCCGATCTTTATGGATGTTATGATCTCGGGTTCATTGTATGCTGTGTATTGTTCAAAGTTATATCTTCTGCGCCATATTTTTTCTTTTACCTGCCCCATTTTCCTTTACCCCCTAATAATGTGTCTAAGGATTTTTCGTTCAAATGTACCTAATTGGTTCTCATCGCTTTTCGACAATGTCCATGTCTTCTATCCATATACAAGGACTGGTTTTAGAAGGGTCTTGTATATTTTGTATTTGTTTTTTTTTTATGATGTTGTTGGATCTTAAACGTTTAATTAGTCCATTATATGTTTTATTAGCGATATGTATTCTTCTCTTAACTTAACTTAACTTAACTTAACTTAACTTCACTGAAATTGTTATCTGCGGTAACTAGTGAACCTAGATATGTAAAACTTTTCACGCTTTCGATGTTATATATCTCGTATTGTCAGATTCTGTAGGTTTCTTTGGCCTGTCGAATTACTGGCCTTCATGTATTTGGTTTTTATTTCGTTAATGTTTAGGGCACTGTTTTGTGAGGCTCTTTCTATCGCATTAAATGCTTCTATCATCTCTCTTTTGCTTCTAGCTATGATATCATCATCATCTGCAAATGCCAATGTTTGTACACTTTTTGTTATTATTGTTCCTCTGGCTATATTGACTTGTTATTATTGACTTTTGACTCCCTAATTATTTTCTCTAATGTGATGTTGAATATAATACAGGATAGGGCATCTCCCTGTCGTAGGTCCGTTCTCACATGGATTGTATCTGTCAGTTTTTTGGGGGGACCTGATGATGAGGCAAATATGGTAAGCCTTAAAACCGGTAGCGCAAAATTTATAGTCATTAAATAATAAAAATTACTTAAGATTCTGAGTATTGCCCATTTCCCATATACTTTTATTATGGACTTACATTGGCAACCTTTCCATCATTTGTAGATTGTTTAATTTGAGATCTTCTCATGGATAATATTTTCCCTCTCCATAATAATGTGAAAAATCGGAGACAGGTCAATTTTGCTTTCAAGAATTTTGAGTGAATGTTGCAACAATATTATTTGCTTATTAGGGCTAAAAGGGGGACTGAACAATTACTTTGCTTGGAGATAGGGTAAGCAAAAAAATTAAAACGTTTTCGAACGGCTACTTGTGATTTGGTTGGAGAGCAAGGTCGTGGATAGGGATTCTCTTTTTTTTAGAGGGGGGGGGATGGGAGAACTATGATTTCTAAAAAGAAATCGAGAAATACTTACAGAAATGTCCTAGGCAAACACTATACAAGATTTCTAAACGATTTAAAATTAGGATGCCATTAAAAAAATTGTGTGAATATTTTTTTAACAGAAATATTTTTCTAAATTCCTAGTTTACACAGAAAAATTACATGTTTATTTTTATTTTACATAAAGTTATTACAAAAAAATATTTAAATCTAGTAAAAATGTCACATTGAACCTTCCAACAACAAAACAAAATTTAAAACTATGGTTATGTACCAAATGGTACCAAATGAAAAATGTGTATTAACTGTTATGTGTCGAAATGAAAAACCAAACTTTTCTGAATTATTAATTAATAATTAATAATTTTATTATAATAGGTTAATTTTATTTAAAAGACACTAAAATATGACAATTAGCTGATACATAAAACTTATATTTATTTTTTAAACTTTTTAAATTTTGAGCAGATATTGGTGTTTTAACGATAAATGTCTATTTAGAAAAAAATTTAACAAAACTACTCGCGTCACTGGCTAATTATTTCTTTTTAATCGATTAAAAAAGTTTGGACTAAAAAGCATTGTCCCACAAACTTCAAACAATCCAGATCCGACCCTTAAGAGACACAAAATGGAGGCTGGACAAATCTTGGGAGAAATCAAATACCAAAATCGGGCTTCAGGTTATCCTGAATGATACTATATGTGATCCTTAAAATTCGGCTGCTTATTTGCCATTTAAAACTATGTCCGCTTGCTTAGCCCTCAGGATGCTGTTATTAAATCCCTTGACACATGATACAGCTTGCAACAAACGGTGATTAACTTAAATTACAAAGATTACTATGATGCATTTCAAGCTCAAATCACCTTTTTCTCACCATACACATGGAATTAAGCAAAACTTTGCCGGTTTTTCAAAACCTCACGAAAAACGAACCTTACTGGTCCAGTCCGTCCATTGCCTCGTCTGACCGCTACACTATCCCATCTTATGTCAAAATCGTACTTTCTCGTACCAGATCTTATATAGTGGCTAATAGGGAGCCTCCTGTACGAAGCCTTGGACACGAAATTTAACCCTAAAGTGCCGAGAAAAAAAAATATTTTACAATTTTATAGAGCTAGATAAACCCCTACGAAGGGTGCATAAAGAGAATTGTAAGGAACCTTTACAATTTCACATGGAAAGGGGGACCAATAAATTTCTAGTCAATGATGA